ACAAAAGACATGACCACCATGTTGGATGATATAACAAAAGACATGACCACCATGTTGAATGATATAACAAAAGACATGACCACCATGTTGTCCACAATATGACAAGAAAACCAACAAAAATGCACTATGCTTTACTTCAATATTCACGGCGTATCTTGTTTGGGCACAAAATAATAATAAGAATAAAACGAAAATAATACAGAAAACTTTTTACTCACAGGCTGAATAGGTTCCGAGCCTAAAACCAATCAAATAAAAAATAAAGGAAAGGCAATACAGTAGAAATATAGAACTTTATACTTTTTTACTTAATCAAAGGCTTATCACAAAGAATGGTAAAAATTCGACCGGTCGTCTCTCAAAGAAAATTGTTAAGCCTCTTTCTTTTATATTCAACCTCTGCACTATTTCAGAACTGGAAGTTGTCAAAATCTAGAAATCTAGAAATATAAATTGTGACCGTTTTGAATTGAATAGGCAACTTGTACATACATGACTCCATTGAAGCATAGGCCATTGAGGTGACGAGACACAGTAGAATAGCAATCATTTTGTACAGCAGCATCATTGAATAAAGAGCTGGAAGAGACGAAATAAATTCAGAAAACTAAGAGGGGTGGGGTAGGTAATTTTATACGGGTTATAATAAAAAACAAAACAAGATCTTGTGATTGCAATAAACTACGACGTACACAAAACCTTGTCAAATATGTGTTGCAGTTTCAAAGATTCTGAATATTCTTCGATCAACAATCAAAATTTAATTTATTGCTATGATGAAGGCGATTTCGACACTTGCAATTCGCAGGTGTAAAATCTAATGCTGCAATTCTGTCATATTTTTAAATAACTCTTTTAAATTTATTTTGTAGTAATGTAATCATGAATCCTTGACTTCGTTGAATATTTTGTTATGAGTCTTATACAGAACTGCAGTGTTGTGAAACAGAATTCCTAAATCAGAATTATCCGTTTTATATAAGTTAACGTTCCATGAAAATGCTTTCAAAGTGAAAATCCTTTTACCTCAAGCAGTATGTAACTCAATGAAAGTACTCAAATAAAATTGAAAATAAATTGATTTGCTTTCGTAAAAGTTAGTGCAGGACATCCTCACAAATTCATAACTGAATACTGAGTAAGGAACCTTAATAGCAGAGCAAATTCTGTAGCCAACCGTTTCAGGATTTGATTTGACTTTGAATAATGTTCGTTAATAAACAAAAACATAAAAAATAACTTTAGAGAATGATTCTTTAGACGAAAGTTAAAGACTAAAAACCATGAACATGAACAGTTTCAGCGTTTGCTACCGAAAACATGTCATACTTTCATCAATTGATGTAAAACTTACATTTTCAAAGATGCTTCAAAACAAACTGAGAAGGACCCAAATGTTTGAAGAGCTAAGAGTTTCGCTTCGTTCTGGTCCTATGACAGAGTTAAAAACAGGTTAGTGGCTAAAAGTTCAAATGAACAGCTGTCCGAGCAACTTGGCTTTGATTTGCATCTTTAATAACTTTTTGCGTAACAATCTACTACGTCAAGATAGTTCACCATTGTATTTTTTTCAATTTACAAAGATAAATTCACTATTCTTCACTCCTCCATCGTTTCAAAGATAATTGAAAATTCAACACATTTTTGGTTTCTCTGTTGGATGTTTTTTTCTTTTTGTTTAAACTTTCATTTGAATTGAAATAGAGCTCTATGGATGCGCTTTATTTTCACTGGCGTTTGTTTTTATTTTTCTTATATGAACTGTTGTATTGAATTTAAAAAATCCTTTTCTTTATATGTTTTCTTCACTTCTGCATCTTTTTTATATCTTATATATGCATTTATTTTAGAATAGAATAGAATAGAATAGAATACCTTTATTTAAACACGATAAAATTTAAAGCTAAAAGCTTGTGGGGTCGTGCATAAAATAAATTAAATAAATAAAATATAATATAAGTATGAATCTGTAAAAATAGCTAATTAACTTAGATAACTTTAAA